AATTGCAATACAATCTCTCATTTGTGTGTAACTCATGACAAAAAGGTGTCAAATGATAATTGTTAACCAATTAGTCATGTTTATGACCAATCAATATGTCATTAATTAGATAACAAAATACAAATCAATTACTGTTTGAGTGGTCTGTCGTCCGGGAAGTGAAGAATAATCGTTACATATATTGATGAAAGCATTTTGCAATAGATTTGAATCATTTGTATTCAACTTATGGATGAATTGAACCAAATTCGTGCACGATTTGCACGACAACAACCGGCGTCACCACAGCCACGACTCCCGGCCGTTAGGTACGTGACTGTGTGGACAGGTGTGTAAGTGGTGTTAATGATAATTGTGATTAATGTGCTATTCTGTATGTATGGTTACCAATCTGTTGACAACAGCAGCAGATATTTCATGGTTTACTCGTTCACTGCAAATGGTTTGTATTAATGGTTCAACATTTCACGCAATGAGTGGTAAACATATGAATCAGTCATTCATTTGATGTCGAATACTGTTGTTTACATAATAGACAAACCAATCATACGATCACTGATATGATAGTGAAGGCAAACACAACAACCAATCAGTGATGAACTGCAACCAATGCTTGAGCACATACAGTCACTCCAATGGCAACCCTTTAGCACTGCATCACTCATGAAACTCATCCATGAACGCATTCACACCAATTATGCCATCATTTAGTTCATTGACAAACATTTAGACATTCATTCAATTCATATGACAATTGGTGTATATGTTGGCTAATACTCTAATGACAACTATACTGACACTCTATTATTGTATGAATGTCTGTCAAGAATATAGTATTCCTTATACTTGTACTAACTTATAGTTAGAATCATTTTCAAATTCTTCATTAGTATGTGATTTAATAAGAAATTAAATTATACTACAATTACTCCTACTATGATATACATGTATTGCATATTCAATTCAAATTGACGTCATTTTATAATATTCATTTGAAATATGATTAATAATATTTCATACAAAATATTCAATGTCTACAGTAAATGAGTTTCAGTGAAATGTATGTAATAAAGTTGATAAAAGTTTAGAGACAAGGAAGTGATTTGAAAGTTTAATTCCATCACTAAAATTAATTCAAAAAACCAAAGTTTTCAAAACAATGATATTCTGCAGAATTTGCCTCAAATTTATGACATTTTAAAAAATAACAATTATGTATAGAACTTAGTAAGGTACATTTAACATTAGATTCTCCAACAGAATTCAATATATTCTACATTGTATAAACTAGGATCTTCAAAAAAGTGGAAATAAAAGTGGGTATTATAAATACGGCTAAGTGTATCACTGTGATTCATTAAAAAAATTATTCACTATTTTAATCTGTTTTTGATTTTCAATATTTGAATCCTTTATAATAATTTTATATGAATATTTAATTGATAAACACTCAAACTTTTATAATCGATCAAAAAATATTTTATGAATGATAAAATATACTGAGTAATTAACGAATTTTAAGAAAATTATAATAAATAGTCATGCAATTTTATCAAATGAGTATTTATATAAACTAATATTCTTATAAAATTATTATAAAGTATTAATATTTTTGAAAATCAAAAAAGGATTAAAATTGTGATTAAGTTTTGAATGAATCAATTTAGCCGTATTTATAGTACCCACTTTTATTTCCACTTTTTTGAAAATCCTAGTTAAAACAATTTTATTGAACAGAATAATCAGAATATTCTTGAATATTGTTAAAATTAACTAGTTTATACTGTAATACTTATTTGTCATTAATTAAATAGGAGTGTAGAAATTTATAATTCAAAGTATAACATAATACATTACGTTACTTCCAATCGACTTCAATAATACTTTATTAATTGCAATCAATTTACAACAATGTTTCTGTTTTATTTAAAATTAAATTCATTATAGTTTGTGTTGAATTAAATATTTCCCTACAAAATTAAAATTACAATAAATCAAAAAATTTATTGAATGTTAAATATCATCAAATCATAACCAATACAGTATTAAAGAATTTTAATCCGCTTTCAAAACAATTGCTTAAAAATTATCAAAAACCATTTTTAAGGTTTGTATTATCCTCAATTTTCACTAAATTAAGTAAACTCTGAGAGTATATGTTACGATAACAGTAGCTTAAATTCAGTAATAAGTACTATAGTCTACAGTATGTTAGAAACAGCTGTTATGAATTGAACAGAATTTAGAGTTAATTTGTTGGATAAAAATGTATACAATTGTGGAGAGTTTTCTGTAATAAATAGATGTATCCGTTTAAACCGGTAAATGTGTCTATTATAGTGAATATATCACATCAATGTTTCCATTTAATTGAGTTGAGTTCGTATTTCTCTGTGCAGATGACATAACAGATCCACATATGAGGGGCCCTCCAGTTTACCACTGAAATAATCATAACAGTGTCAGACAAATGATTCATAACAAAGGAGTTCATATACTCATACCTGTCCCCTGGGTAGCATAATAACTGTCGAAAGAATAGAAGTATCTCTTTTGATGCCTTTTACAAGAGATTAAATAGCTAACTAACAGACTACTGTATTTGGACCATGTTAACATGTTTAAGTATTTATATTGATTAACTATACAGCATGTATCCGATAAACTGTACTTACTCTCATTGATTTTTTCCTAATATTTTCTATATTTTCTATAATTTGGTTGATATAATTGGATTCATTGGTCAACAACTTAGGCAAACCCTAGAATAACAACATAAGTGTTATCGATAAACTGTACTTACTCTCATTGATTTTTTCCTAATATTTTCTATATTTTCTATAATTTGGTTGATATAATTGGATTCATTGGTCAACAACTTAGGCAAACCCTAGAATAACAACATAAGTGTTATAAACAATAGACTTTACGCGAGAGAATAAAACTCACTAATTCTGGTTGTATTTTGGAAATGGAGTCCACGTGTGAACCGAAAACAGCACTTAAGAATTGGTTGTGCCCTCCGATAGTGTTTGGTATAAACAGCAGAATATAAAAGCCATTCTCTAGAAGATATGCCAAAGCATTGGCGTCCGACAGCTTATGAGTGGAGCATCGGATTTGTGTGGACTTGAGGTGAGCTCTCGTCTCGTCGTACTGTCAGTACATTAACACTCATTTCATTCACAGTTTACTTTGAATTCATTAATAAATACCTCTATTTTCAAGACTCGGGGATAAAGGATGACTTGAGAGAGCGATAGAGGAGCACCTGTTCGCACACAACAGTAAAATAATGAACAAAAACAAGAGTTAGCAAAGAGTTAGTGATCGCACCAATCAATTTGATTTGCGAGAAGGCCTTGTCGTCGGGAGTCATCTCAGGCCCGCCATCAATGGCGTCGCACTTAAGAGCGCCGCAGATATACATTGGAAGGAGTTTTAAGGCCTCGGGAAGTATTAGTTGACCTGAAAGTCATAACATTAATGACTCAAAAGAGAACATATATTGATAGAGACCACTAATACCGAGTGAAGAACCGGGTTGTGCACAATGGCGTCGGTATGCCGTCAATATACTTATGGCTCGATTTATGAGCAATTCTTTCGACTGTTGAACTGTTTTATCGCCATTCCTTAGGGTGGAAACGGCTGTCCAAATAATACATATTACTCTGTATTACAATTGGTTTGTACGGTACTGAGAGAATGCAAATGCAAACCTTGTCGGACTAAGACATTGATGGTTGTGTCACAACAGGCATTCCTGTAGATGTCGGCCACCTGTTGACACGTCGAGAGAGCCATATTGTGGACACGAACTCTTCGCTCACCACTGATTCCGGTGTAGAGAATGGCGACCTAACGGTGTACACAATGTTAATAATCGCTTTTATATAAATTATATGAGAATTACTTGAATGACAACGAACTCGTCTTCGGGCAGTTTGTCGTCATATTTAAGTTCGACCGCAATATTACAGCCCGTATTGATAGCCGCGCACTCGATATCACTAGTGGTTCGCGAGTAATAGTTCCCGATATAGTCGTGCGGACGAACTCCAGTTGAAGTCCTCACTGTCGGCACAATACTCATGAGATTAAAGCAAAAATATATCATTTTGCAAACCTTTCATAATGGCATCAAAAGCAAAGGTTGAGCGCAAAGAATATCTCAAATCAATAAGAAACCGATCGGAGAAATCATTGAAGTATTTATATATAGTTCCCGTTCCCGTCAGGCGAACCAATTCACCCAAAGTCGCGACATCTAAAAAGGCGCCATTGATTGGCGGAAAGAGGAACAGCTCTACACCGCTGGCGAACTCAGTGACACACCGCTGACCCAAACCCACGTAATATTTATTAGAATCTGGCGATAGAATTGTCTTCTCTTTATCGGTTCCCAAGAGTTTTCTTATCTCATCTAAAGTTACATTAAATTATAAAATAATATCCAAATCAAGAGTTAATTACAATTAAATACCGGGAGAAGTAGTCCATCGCGGCTTTAGTCGGCCCGGAGTCTCAGCATCGGTGCCGAAGTTAGGAAGAGTGCAGTGAAACATATAGACCTTTCCCACAGGCATTGACGGACTGTTAGCATTAGGTTGTCCTGAGAACCAGTTGCCAGTGTCCACCTGAGCGGTCAGAAGGGCTGCTTCGATGACTGGACCCAAAACTGTTTGGGTTTCCAGTTCTTCGTTAGCGTAGAGCGAAGGCAAGGATTGCAGAAAACTATTCAAATAATAGAGTAAATACATGTAATACTACTGTATAGACCTGTATGTGCCAGGTATGATGTAGGTGCCATCATTTAATAACATTTATGAATACCTCTCAATCTGTTCGAAATGAACTAACGGGTCGACCAAAAAGGTAGTCAACGGCGGGAAAGTAGAGCTCACGTCACAAATAATATGCGAGTGACCGTTGTTTATGATGTCATAGATTTGTATCTTTGAATTGTAGGTCAAGAAGCCTACCAAAGGGGGAGGGCTTTCCGAGTTGAGAGGATCTCTACATTGAGATGCGATTGTGTTATAGAAAATGTCATAAATAGATGTATTATTGCCAATACCTCGGAAGACTATTCCTAATAATATCCGACAAATGAGTTGATAAGTGATGAAGAATTGGTTTAGAAGTGGCCGTCAATTCCATCGCAAATATTATGTGAGGTCTGCGAGCGTTCAGAACACCTGATGTTATCCGTAAATGAGTGACAGAGTTAGCACTGAAATAGGGTTAAAGTGTGGCAAATATACCATTCCTGCAGTACTCATCTGTGGCTCGGAATTCATAACTCCCTAAGAATAGTTCCGGTCGATTGAATTTGTCTAATCTTTGGCCTGAAAGCAATGACAACTCGGTTAATGCAATGAAACAATAGTCGATATGAAGTGCAAACCCGTGTGATCTAAGTTCGCGAAGTATGAAGAGTTCACTTCAGTCACGTGATGGCAGAGAGAGCATTGGAACCGTCGGCCGCCGTCAATGAACCTCATGTAGGGATTCATATATGCTTTGCAACGATTACAACGGATTATCTCACTGTTAGTTATGGGCACAACCTGTCACACAATACTCATTAGCTTACAATCAATTCAAACAATTCTTAGAGACATTTAAAACTATAGAAATCAATAAAACATACATTTCTTGAATCGACTTCTGAATCATCAAAAGGTTGGATGACTATAGCGAGTGGAATAGAAGTCATTTTGAGTGTGTCCTCAGCGATGGGCACCTGATATACAGTGGACCTGATATGATGAGGTCGAGCACAACCGCCATCGTTGCTAACACTGAGTTCATTATCATATACTGTGGTCACTAGTGGTGGAACTGATGCGGGAATAGAAGTGGTGAACAAAACATTGTCGTTGTTTTCAAATTTATGTTTATCCTCTTCGATCACCTGAACCACACTCGGCATCGCTTCGGGATCTAATCGTTGCTGAGACTGTTGTTGATAATTATTCTGCGGCGGACCCATAGGCTGTTGAGGGGCACCGGGAGTCGCTTGTGGTCCATACCGTCCCATCCCCTGTTGTTGCATCCCTTGTGGAGGCATTCCAGACATGGGTGGCATTTGGGCCGACATTTGAGGCATTCCTTGCATTCCCTGTGTTGCCGGCGGAGGGTATCCGGCGCTCATCGGCGGCGGCATCTGATTGGGCAGCGATGGCCTCATTTGGTTGGAAAGGGGAGGCATTTGCTGTGCCATCGATTGTGGCGGAAGAGATTGTGGGCCTCTTTGCTGTTGATATGGCGGCAAAGAATTGGTGTTCGGAAACGACTGCTGTGTCGGAGGAGGAGCTGAAGAGCCGCTCGTTTGGACAGCACCTGAATTCCAAGAGTCAGGACTTGGAATCTGTTGGGACTGATGAGACGGCATCGGCGGTCGCGACCAACTCTGTTGACCGACATTGGGATCCAGTGGTCGTTGTTGTGGCGGTTGTTGTAGTGATTGTTGTTGTGGTGCCGGCTGTGAGTGCAGAGGAGGCGCATGTGATTGTGGCAAAGGATATGGTTGTCCCGCGAGTGGCACAGAACTGGTCTGTTGTGGTGATTGTAAGCCGTTATGTGAGGGAAACCCTTGAGGTTGGGAACCACCCAAAGAGATATTACTCATTTGATCCGATAAATTGTTCATTTGCTGCGGGGGTTCTTGTAGTGCAGAACTCTGTGCAAATTGAGGTGATCTTTGAGATTGGAGTACATCCTGAGGAGGAAGTCCTGTGGCCATCGAAGGGATGGTCTTCTGTGGCGGAGGTCTCGGTTGAGACATCGGTTGGTTAGGAGGAAGTGAAGACATGTTCGTCTGATTGCCATAATATGTGTGATTGGCTGAAGACATTGGCATCGGGGCAGCGCTTCCATTCTGTTGGTAGTACTGGGGCTGAAGTGTCTGCTGCGGCATATGATTAGTGTTTTGCTGATAATACAACTGCTGATCCATGGCGCTAAAGGACATCAAGATATCTGTAGTGAACTCAAGTCAATGTAAGTCAATGTCGACGTGTCTTACAGTCTCAGACAACAACACTAATAAACAGTCAAATCAATTGCAAACGTATTTTGTTTTCTATTCATTGCAATGCACTCATGAATTACGATATGTTTTGTTTGAAGCAAACAAATCATTGCAAATCAACTTCAATTGCAAACATTGCTCTCATTTGACGCCCATTTGCCACACGTTTACGTCTTTTATGGTTTAGGTTTCAAATATTTCTTTCGTTTGTTTGCCAACAATTGTCTCACTATTGACCACAACCTCCGAAGTGACAGATGAGTGAATATTGGGGTGAATTGGCGCCCAAGACACCCTTCACGCCCTCAAACACCCGGCCGGTGGGCGCCGACACACCCCTCATGACAGGCATACCCGTTGAGTTCAGCTCACAATCAGATCGTATGGACTTCCAGTTGACAGACCATCGCGTGTCGGACCCACAGAGACAACTGATGCACACGTGTCTGGTCAGTGACCTTCCCATCGGGTGTCCACTTA